TATGCACTTGCATATTGCATTTCATCTAGGTACGCTAGATGAACCACGTGAAGGACGTGATGTTGGAGCCAAACCCGAAGACAGTGTTTGATGGATCTATCCCGAAGGTGGAAGGGCTAAGCAAGTGTTAGGACCTGTGATATCACCAGGATGGTGCAAGCTAACTGAACTGACTTGTGTCGGATCCCAGACAGGCCCCGGAGCATTCTAAGTCTCCTACTTTATAAAAGCAATTATTTCTATATATGAGTTATATATTGTTGCATTAAGTTGTAGGAGTTGATTGAAACCGTTGATGCATTTAGTATTATCCTTGCTTACCTTATTACCTTATTACCCTATTAGGTCGAGATCGAATAACTGCTTAGCCTTGCTTAGACCGGTAGCGATCGGTGATATCCGGTCACCTACATTTATAGGTGGTTACTGGAAGAATTTAGCTATGGAAAGAATGATATCCTGGAATTAACCATGTGTGATGGATAATTGGAGACCGGACGGAAAAGTTGGAGGCAACCAGACAGGGTTCTGGGGTGCTGTTAGTTTCCATCTATGTCGATTAAGGACCGTTCGTTGTTGGGCCTCGAGTCATGTTGAACGCATGCCTTACATTTAGCTGGCCGGATAAAGTACCTTCCGACCGCGAAGCTGGGAGATTATTCGGGCCGAGTAGATTGCCCGCAGTGCACTGTGCCGGAGCAGGTGTGGTAGGACACGGGGGCGAGATGATAAGACCAAAGTGCAGTCGGTCGGCCCCCGGGTACATGTGGTTCCTGGCAAACTCGAGATTCCTGGATAGTTGACTCGGTGATCAATATCTCACTTTAGCGGGTGAGTGAGGTTTGTGTAAGGAATAAATCACCAGCTGGTTAGGAATCGATTCGAATCGCCATCGCTCCTGGATATTGAGCACTTGACTCGAGTTACAGCATCGTAGTAATTATTATGGAACAATGATGGTTATCTGGATGGTATGGGATATGCTAAATCTAAATTGGTAACTGGATGTTATTGGTTAATCAAGTGATTGCTATAGTATAGGTGCTTACCTAGATGGATAGGTCATAATAAAGATGATGTAAAGTACTTAAAATGGTTTCTTCATGATAGCTTATGCTTTTCACAAACGAGTCAGCTAGCCCACTAAAGAAAGCCTTGCATAATCCTTGGTGTCGCTTTATTTTGGTTTAAGACGGGTAAGTCTGGCTGAGTACATTCGAGTACTCAGGGTTTATCCCACCTTGTTGCAGATGATGTTCTCGACCTATTGATGATGGTGGCTAACCGCCGGTGGGCTCGGTGATTCTATACTTACTTCTCATCTATATGCTTTTGTCGGATGATGTCACTTATGCTAGCAATATATTTGGAACTTATATTAATGTAATCATTTGAAAGTTATGTTGTTTTCACTAAGCGGTTTTGAAACCCAAACTGGTACTTTTATTTGTGAACCCATTTGTAATATTATTTCCGCTGCAACCCTGTGTATGTGATGTGTATTTGCTTAATCACGCGATCTTGGTTGTGATGTTGATTTACCGAAGTCTTTCGGGACACTCGGCGGACTACCGGGTTTATACGAGTGAAAGTATGGGTGTGTCAACGTGTTAGCGGGGACAACCGTACTTGATCTTGTATAAATTAGGTGGTTCTGTCACATATTCCTCTTGCTATGACTAACCTTCTGTAGAATAATGTACATAAGCGAGAGGATGACATGGAAGAAAATAAGGAGCTCACAACCTCATATGCAAATTCAGAACCTTCACTTCACAATGCACCTATTACTCCTGTTGAGAACACAGGTAATGCCCATGGTGCTACACTCACGGAAGGTAAGAATTGTTTAAATGTACTAAATTTTTCCACAAACCATGCTATCATAGAGCAATTGTTAGTGGAACCCTCTCTTGATTTATATTTGTCCCATAATAATTTGCTTGATGTTCCTTGTGATAAAGACGAATTGGTTGATGATGCTTCAGTTTTACATGTTTTGGAACCAACCACTTGTGCTGAAAATAAACATGTTATTCATATTGCTACTAAAACTGATGAGATCAAACTGTTGTCTTCTTTAAATACTTTGGGTTACATTGAATTTGATGTTTTGTGTAACCTAGATTGTTTGGAGGAGAGCCTTTTTAAATATGCTGATTTGCCTTGGTTTTCTAAACACACATATCATGTTATTGGCAAATATAACAACAAGGGACAATATATGATACATCGAGTATACATTCGTAGTAATATGAATTTTCCTTTTGTTGTACAAGATTATGATCGTTTAGACGGCAACCATAATAATACAAACATTTGCTCATGTTCCTCAAAGAAACAAGTTCACTTCAAGAAGGGGAGCATTGTTGGTTGCTACCTATGTCTGCTAGACCATCTGTTCCTGCATTATCTTTGGTTAGTTCTAATCTTTTGCAGGATAGTGTTGACATACATCGTGTGCATTCGGATCATGGAGTCTACATGCTTGCTGAAATTTTTATGCGAGACGACATGCTAGAAACTTAGAAACATAGTCACGTTCCTTCTCATAATTATTTTAGTTTCCTTTGTCTTCGCAACCCCGTTCTCCTTTATGTTGTGCAGGATCAGTTTCAAGCGCAATCGACGCCGAGGACGGGTTTTTATCAAAAAGGGGAGGATGATGAGGACATGACACCCATGTATATGACCATGTTTGGCGCACTGTATGGAGGGGTAGGAGGCCAGCAAGAGTGTCCAAGTCAAGAAGGAGGTCCGAGGCTAATTCGGTTCGAGTCCCCGTTCTTGCTTGTGTTCTCGATTCGCTTGTAGAAAAGCCTTCTCGGCGAGATCAATCGCGTTTGTATGGTTGATAACCAACGGAGCAATGGTGTAACGGTTGCGGGGGTCCGAATCAGTCTTGGTTCGAAGCCTAGATCGTGAACGTCGAGTCTCCACTAATCGACGCTATCATACCTTTCAGAAGATCGGGGCTAGTCAACATCAGAATAGCATGTAATTGTTCCTGGCCGGCAACTATTCAATCATTTACACCGGGCTGGAATCAATCCTGGCATGGAAGAGCCTGGGACGGTTAACCGAACGATGCCTAAGTAAACTTTATGCCTAAGTATAGAAAAAATTACTATGAAATATAAATGGATATAGTGTATTGTTTTGTTGTATCAAAAGGCTTTCATTTTTTACGAGATGGCATGTTTCATGTTGAAAGAAAGATTGCGGCTTTACTTTTCCCCCCTTTTCCCATAGGGCAATATCACATCGATTCAAAGAATTATATATGCTTTCACTAATTATATTAAAATCATGGGGGTCTAAAAGGTATAGAAAATTGTATTTCTCTTTATGGCAAAGAAATATAATCTTCTCTAAGAGACGACGAGCGAAGAAACTACTTATGTTAGTACTCCTTTAGCATAAAACCATTGTATGAGGCTCAACAGTTTAATCACATTCACATGGTGGTTAATGAGTTCATCGGTCAATAATCTAACTTCAAAGGGTTGAATATGTAAATAATTGCTACATTAGTAGTTTATAATTTAGATTAGAAACTTCTAATTACACCGCCTTTGGTGGTGGTCAGCCTCTGTTAGCTCTTTAATAATTTCATTACAGCCCTGTAGTCGATGAATGCGAGACGATGGCCTGTGGATTGCAACATTATTAATGCTGGTGTCGATACGAATGATTTGTTTAGGTGCCATGATTACCTTTTATATGCTTTTACAGTCAGCAATGTGACATCTTTTTTGTATTTTTTTCTCGTACTAGCAAACATGTCCGTGCGTTGCAACGGGAGAAAAAACTATTAAACATGCGACAAACAATGATAAAAATGTTATATATTTGTTTAGTTATGTTTTATAATTTTTTATAAAATTTAAAAACTAATTTATTTTATGATGACCATGGCGTTCATAATATAAGTTAATATTTACAATACTATGATAATATATGCTTGTTATAAATACTTTTTAACAAGCATACACATAAATAAATCTATAACTAAGTTATACATGATCTAATGAGTACAAAATTTTTACTACAGTTCAAGTATACAATAATTAGCCCACCATACAAATTGCACCACAATTGGACTATAGAAACTGCAGTTATGAATTAATTACAGAAAAGCATATATCTAAAGCTACAGTAAAAAATTTATACTAAATCATATCATATTATATGTTCAATGTGTAGATCTACTCATGTAGAGTCCAACAAAATTAGATTTTCTATTTTATGATTTTTCTATGATTTACTATGATTTTTCAAAGATTCAGCCGAAATAAATAAAAAAGAAAAAGACAAAACCGCCTTTGAAAACCACTTGTAACCGGTCAGGGAGGTAAAACGAACGGTTTTAAAAGTTTAGGGAGGTGGTTTACCTGGTTTTAGAGTTCAGGGAGGAAAAGCAGACTTTCGCAAAAGTTAAGGGAGATAACGTAGACTTTTTCCAAAAAGAATCAAACAAAATATTAAGGCCGGCCCAGCCTCTCTCAGCACCTGAGCAGGCCACAGATGGGCCATATCTTAGTCAGCCAGCCCACAGGTCGACGATCAGCACGACGAGCGAGTCCACTAGGCCGGTCCAGTAAAACAGCTACGTCAACTCTTAGTCTCCAATCTTCAACTGGGCCGTGTGTTCGTGTGAACTGAAGTGCAGCGGGCCGGTGGGGCCCCGGTGTCAGCGCCGCGAGGGAAGCAGCGGGCTCCCGCCATATTTCCCTCCGATTCACACGACGCGGCGGCGACTTTCCCGCGCCGCGCCGCGCCCGGCCGCCCGATCCCCATTTCGATCCACCCGAGCCTTTTACCGCCACTTTCTTGGCGCCAAACTCGCCTGTCCTCCCCGCCACGCGCCCCCTCCTCCTATAAACTCCCCCCGATTCCTCTCTCCTCCCCCACACTCCGCCGCTTGCAGTTACCGAGATCCACAGAGGGGCAGATCTACCCGAGAGCGACAGATCCACAACCGAGAGCGACAGATCAGCATGGTGGTGGCGCTCGGACCCGGCCGGTTCTACGGCAGCGGCCTGCCGAGGCCGCGCTTCTTCCCGGGCGACCGCGTCGACCCGCCGGCATCCGTCACGGACCCGCTCCTTGAGTGGGCGCGCGAGGCGCACTGGTCCATGGGTGGCTTCAGCGTGAAGCGCCTCCGCCTGCAGGGCCGCATCGAGGGCTCCATCGACAAGCTCCGCCGCAGCGCGCGCCGCGACGCCAGGGCCAAGGCCAAGGCCAAGGCCCGCTCCGCCGGCCACATGCCCGCCTCGCTCGCCGCGCTCGGATCCGACGACGACGCCTCCGACGGCGACTCCGAGGACGAGGAGGAGGTGGCGGCGCGGGAGCAGGCCATGAAGCAGGAGCTCGTCGACGACGACGAGGACTCCGACGGGTCCGACGAGTCGGAGGAGGAGGAGGACGAGCCACTCGCGGCCATCGTCACCGCCGCCAAGAAGAGGCGCGCGAGGAAGCTCAGCGACGAGTTCGACCGCATCGCCGTGGAGCAGCAGCTGGAGAAGAAGAAGGCGGGTGCCGCGGCGCCGGCGAGGGCGTCACCAAAGAGGAAGGCTGCCGCACCGGCCGCGCGCGCCGGCGAGGTGTCGCCGAAGAGGAAGGCTTCTGCATCCGCTGCTGGGGCGACGGCAAGGGCATCGCCAAAGAGGAAGGCTGCAGCACCCGCCGCGGCGCCCTCATCGGCGACTGGGGCAAGGAGGACCTCGCCGAGGAACAAGCGCTGAGTGGAGGTCGGTGTATGTGCTGCTCTAGTTCTCGATCTGTTTCTTGGCGATCATGGGGTGTTAGTCTTGAAAATGTATGGTGTGGTTGTGTCGCAACTGCTGGATTGGAATGTTGAAATGGAATCGAAATGATGGTTGTCTCTGTATTAATCCTTTGAATGATGATGAAATGGGATCGAATTGATGGTTGTCTCTGTATTAATCATCTGAATTTTATGAACATGTCGCATTTGTTGGGCCTGTCTTATTTCTATCATAACTATTTAACTGAAACTCTCCATGCTTGGGAAATTGGAATTCATTTAGCATCTTTTATTTTGTAATAATTTGTCGAAGCTTGAAACGAAATTACATTTACGAGCATATGTTCAGATGCTCGCATGTCTGAAGTGCTAGTTTGCTACAGTGGCACAACTATGGCATTTAGGTACATACATACCATACAATACTGGGGATGATGAAATGTGGTGGTTTTATCTCTGAAATAACCCTGAAATGAAAGTTGTTCCTGCTCTTTGTTATATGTGGACATGTGCTGTCTTTGTATACTCAAATCTGAAGCAACTTGAAATAATGTAGTTCCTGTTGTGATACCCAACCAAGAGGCCAAGATGCTGCCACTTTTTTTTGGGTTCCATTTCATACTGTAATTAGTTTAAGACACAAGTCATAGGAAGTAAACTGTAATCCCTGATCCCTTTGCTTGTTGGTATTGGTATCGTTAAACTTGTCATAACAAGGAAAGAATGGTACATTTAGGCCAGCACTTAATTCTTGCTGCCCTGCGATTGTGTATGCATTTGTATCTAGGACCATTTCAAGTCTAATTCTATTAGTATATAGAAAAGGGTAAAAATGATTGGGTGCTCATGTGTTGGGGTCGGAGACAATTCTTTCGATCTCTTCCAGCAGCCGCTCCTTCTCTTCGGTCAAGTCCTCGTTTTGCTTCTGAAGCTCCTCGATCTGCTTGGTCTGCTCTGAATCTTTCCTGTAATCGTGTTTATAAACATTTAATTAAATAGGTTTACAAAGGTGGCTTATGATTACTTGACAAAAACTTTCCTTAGAAACTTGTGTCCTTGCAGCAATGTACCCACCTGTTCATGAAAGACAGGTTAAGTTTTAGTGATCGGACCTCCTTCTCTAGGGTTTCACAGCGTTTAAAATACGGCTTGCATGTCAGATGGTATTACTGGTGTGGAACTTCTTTCCTTTAACTTCTGCCATTCTGAACCATAAGAATGAAATGGAACATCACATTACTGCATGATAATTATAACTCATTGTTCAAGACCATTTTGTTGAAAGAAGAGAAAACCATCACATACTTGCGTGAGCGCTCAACCCTGCGCTTCTTTGTAGGATCTCCATTATCAGCTGCAGAGTTAACTAATTAGATTGTTTGGTGATTAAGAAGAAACTGCACAGTAGTATATGATATTTTAAGCAACTATGCTCATTTGACACAAGTACATATGTACATGACAAACATATATTTCAAGTTCCCCGAAACATCTTATGAACATGTGTTTAGGGTGAGTGCTTATTTCGAGAAATGACCATATAGCAATTATTTGGTGCCTAAAAATAAGTTATCTGTTGGATATACCTGCTTGTTCCGATGAAATGGATCCCATTCGAGTTAGGGCTGCTTTCTGCAAATGAGAAAAAATGATCCATATTGAAATAATTCAACAGAACGAACTTTTGATGCTCAGAAGTATGAGTTGAACTTACCTTTCTCTCATCTTTCAAAGTATCCTTTTGTACCTTCTCTCTGTATTCTGTACATTTTGAACAAATATAAACACAATTTTATTCTCCCATGGCATGATAACAATGACATCTTTATAGGAGAAAAGATCAAGCATTCTCACATCCATGTTGTGACTCATAAGTATTTGTGTCAGGCCAAGTAAAGTTTTGCTAAACTCAAGGATATCTGTATTGATAGAAGTATACCTTTGCCTTTTGATTTGCAGTCGGTTGTTCCATTTGCAGCATTTTTTCTAGTGCTCTCACAAACAGACATCGCTTGCCCTGTGGGAGGTAGCTCATCACACATTTCAAATCCAGCTGAATGAGTGGTCATAGCAGTAGAGGATCCACTGTGCTGAAGGCTCTCGAGATGCTGCACCGAACCAAACCTGGTTTGCAGGAGCAACAAAGTTACCATTGTTTGGTTCCATGGGCCTCTCAACCTTGGGAAGCATCAGGGAATCCTGAACTTGGGCAGTTGTCACTATGGGAAAGAAATCTGTTCCTCCAATAATGTTCTGTTGAAACTGCTGAGTGTCATAGAATCCAAAAGAATTGCCTACTGAGGTGTCTTTGTTAGCATGGCTACCAAGCTTCTTGCGCTCAAGCGTGTCCTTGAGCATGCTCACCACTGAGGTAACAGTATCTTGTGCTGCCATATGTGGATTATCCAGAGGGATGTTGATGAACTTGAAGGAGATACAAAATTTGGTGTATGAACAGGTGTGTTGCTCATTGGTGTGCTGTTTGTTGTGTTTGTAAAATCTTGTTTTAATTGGTTAGTTGCTTCAATGCTTCCTATAGTTATTGGTGCCAAATTAGTTTGCATTGCAGCATACCTCCTCCTGTAAATATGACCAAGAAAATTGAGGCAAGAACCATATATTTCATGCGGGAAGGTAATAGTGCACATGGAATCAGAAGGTCCTGCCTTAACTCTGACGAAACGACTTCTAGTCATTGGTTGAGTGCTGTGGAACCAGGCCTAGAAATGGATAAAATAAGAAAAATTACTGTTTTTTTTACTCATATACAAATTTGTGAATATGGTAGCAACTGGATTGTGAAGATGACTAACTTTTGCTAGAAGCAGGTCACTGGCTTGCATTCCCTTCTCTGCTGCATTTCTGTTATGGCAAAAAAGCAAAATCAATAAAACTTATAATTCATAGATCATAAAGTAGAATGTGATTTTATTTTGAAGAAACTGTGGAAGGTGATGTTGGCGTATAAATACAGTACTTGAGTGATTGCTGGTTGTGGTTATTTGGATATTCGACTGAAGGAATTGCTAAGTTCTGTGGAACCAAGTTGTCAGTGAGAAAATTTTGTTGAGCAATGTCATGCTGTTGATTCGGAAGGCCTGCTGCAGCTTCTGATGACAACCTGCATAGTTTTGGACAACACCTTGTGAGGTAGGAGTTGCAGTTAACCAAATCATAGGAGTAGACCTTTCATGCTTTTCCAACCTTTAATTGGGTAATATGCGAACCTTTATATGCTTTCAGTCAGAGCTTTTCTCTTTAGAAAAAAATGGGTAATACGATCTATTTAGTATCTGAGGCATATGAGTTCAGATAACCTTTTTTTGAGATTAGTTTCAACTAAATTACTGATATTTGTTTTGAGGTGTTCGCTCCACCTAAGTACACAATTTCTTTCATTGGTGTATATTTACAGATCTAGCAAATTCAGTTAATTCCGCATCATTTACCAGTATCTTACCTAGATGGCTGTCGAGGGCGATTGTTCACTGAACCAAATCCTGGGATCTGCAAATAAGCAGCCATACATTTAGGTGACAGATTCGAAGTAAGAGATCAGCCAACACAGTAAGTGGCACTTTAGCATTCATGTTCATATAGCTTACAAAAGATCCGCTATGTACTTTCTGAAATGATAGAAGAAGTGAGTGATCCCCAGCAAAAGGGACCATATCTTCTGAACCACGAACTATATCATCTTCATACTCAGAGAGAAAATAAACAACAAGAAAAATTCAGAATTCTTGCCTCTCCATTCATAAGCCAGCTGTTGAACAACTCCTCGCTATCTTCTCTGAGACCTTGCGACATGTTCTTGAACCCCAGCATCTCCATGCTTGGCGCTGCTGCCACTCCCATTGAGTTCTCCATCACTGCCTTGAGGAAGATCTCCTCGCTGGTGTTCCTGAACAAATCAGACAGGCCCCTCCCCTCCATCTCCATGGACCCCTCTCAGCTCAACCTCCCCTCTCCTGGTGCAACAATTGACCAGATTGATAACAGGAGTCGCGAAAAGCTGTCTTTAGTAGTACTGCAGTAGTAGGGTCACTAAGGGCAAATCACTTGAAATTCAAGCAACAGAAGCAATGAAACAAATGAGATAATATAAAATAGAATCCCACCTAAAACACCAATTAATCTTATAAATTGGTGCTTGGCAGAAGAGTTCAAGCACAGAAGACATGTACTAGTTGAGTGTGGCACTAGTTGGGACTAAACAAAGTGATGGCAGGTATCTTCCCCTTCATTGGAGGCAAAGATTCCGTTCTCCTCATTTTGTCTCATCAGTGGAAAAATTGGCCTATGAAGAATTTGGCCACTTTCGCGCCAATGAACGAGCATGCACACGCGGTCTATATTACGTATACGTATGAACAGAAAAGCAGTACACTGCTTGAATTACACATCTCCTTATGCTGACATCTTCTGTAGATGGTCTGAAAAAAATTGCAACACAAAGATTGGACAAATGTTTCTGGCAGCTGCTCTAGATTTCTCTTTGCTATGTTCTATGTTTACACAGAAACATCAAATGTTTGAACTGTTTGCATCGGTTTTGTTTTATATGCTTCAGAATTCCTAATTCAAGGATTAATCTGTAGCAACTTGGTCCTAGGTGTTGACACTATGATATGGGTATTAAGATAATATAATGCAGCAATTGGAGGAAGTGGACGGCCAGTCTAAGTGCCCATAGGTTTACTCTGCATTACAGCGACATGCAGCCCCCCTACAGCTGGTGCATCAATGGAAATATAGGGAGGGTGAGGGAGAAGAAGTGGTGGAGGAAAGAAAAAAAATGGAGAGAGAGAGGAAGAAGAAGAGACTAGCCCCCCTTCAATCCTGTTCTGCATCCGCCACCGTTTGAATCATATACATTGTCATCCACCCGAGTGTTATCGTAATCAATGAGTCAATCTTTCGAGTGTCATTTTTGTAATTTTTTCATACAATACGTACTGACGGAAGGCTCGAAAGTGCCGGTTTGGAGCCTCCCTGACATGAACTTCTCACCAGATCATTTCTTTTATTACTGGTAAGGTAAACTGGCTCCTCTCGTCATGTTTAATTGTTGATATAGTTTTTGCAGCAAAAAAGGCTTTGCTTTGGAAGCTTCTGCTGATTCTGACAATGGCTCCTGTTTGAGTTTCTTCTGTAACTGAAACACAGAGCTGCAAATCGTAACTGAAACACAGTGCTGCAAATCTCCAAATGCAAATTTTAATTTTAAAACACAAAAAATGTGTATTTTTTTTTTAAAATCCTTGACATGCTCCTCTATCTGCAGCAGTGAAAAAGACAAATTTACTAGTTTAGGTAACACAGCAAAAAATGTACTTTTCTACCTTTCCTGAATCAACTGAAGGGGATCTAGTATTGATGAATGAATTCACATATGATTTTCACTGACACTGACCTTTGTCTTTCCTATCCAACTTCCATTTACAGAAACAAAGACCCCGTGAGGTTTGACCAGGACAATCAACCAATCCAAGATCTTCCTCCTCGACTTTCCGTCCAGATACATCCCTGGCTGCTTGCGTACAACAATAAACACCACGGATTGGGTGGTCTGTCAGCATCAGCTACGATCACACAGCAAGTATTCTACACCAAACTGTACTGATCTTGCAGAGACGGAGCAGCATAGCTGTTGTCCATTGCGGCAAGACGCACCCGGCGGCACAGGCGCAAGGACGGATTCTGCCGCCGGCACGCACGCTGACGCGCCATCGGCCCCCGGCGATGGCGACGGCGACTGCGACCGCACCCGTCGTCTGACCTCAGATCAGAGGCCCGCATTTGTTAATCCCACTCATGGCGTCGCCGGGTGCCAAACTGCAACTTGCTTTCAGATCTTTGACAGTGTCCCTGACCAGTGTCGATGCGAGGAGGAGGAGGGCCGGGCCAGTTCAGGGGTAGTCGTCACCACTGCGCGTGCCTGCCTGCCTGCCTCTGCCTGCATTATTCCGGACAAATAAAAAAGATACTCTAGTACGTTTCTACCAAACGCGGTTCATGATTGGGTCTTGATATCATAGGAATATTCGAAGGAAGGATCTGGAGATGCTTTTTACAAATTTACAATATATATATACGCAGAGCAGTGCAGGTTTTTGCTGGCTTCACGCATGCTTCAAGAGTCGTTCAGGTTCAGACGTTCAGTTTATGGAAGAAAGAGTAGTTTGGCAACTAAGCCTTCACGCGACGGCTGCACTTCTGGGCCTTGCAAGCGGCCCACGTAGAAACATGCTACGCCTTACAGCATTCACATGGGCTGGATAAAATATGGGTCACTAATGGGCTGAAAAACTAGAGGCCCAAATCACGGTTCCGTTTCAGCCCACAAGGCCGCGCTTATCCCCTCCGCCTCATCTCGTCTTGCCTCGCTCGCAACCGAAGTCGGAAGGCTTCCCCGTCCGTCCACAAGCGAAGCGCGTCCATGGCGTCCACCGCGCTGGTGGCAGTGGGAGGCGGCATTTCTCTCGGTCTCGTCGCCTCCTCCAGCGTCGCATCCTGCTCCCTGCGCGCCGGCGGCGACTCCCGGCGGCTTGGCCGCCGCCTCGTCCTCCTGCGGAGAGGAGGCGCCGAGGTGAGCGTTGCCCCCCGCCCCTTCTTCCTCCCCTTGCCGTTCATTAGTTGGTAGCTCGAATTGGGAGGTGTCCTTGTCTTTGTTTGGTTATCTGTGCGCTGTTATGAGCTGTATGTAGCCTGTGGTCGGTGATTGGTCCGGTTGATACTGGGAAGGGGTTGTTGTGTTCGTCTGTGCAACAACATTTACTTTATTTTTGTGATTATTTTCTAGTGCAATAACAGGTCATGTTTTGACTTCTTGTTGAACCATTTCCAATACCAAGTAGTAGGTTATCTACAACATCTTTTTCCTTTTTTTTTTTAAAAAAAATCTCAGAAGATTACTACCATCTTTCACTGTAAAAATAAAGACCTGCAGCGCTATCTTCATGTCAGTTGTACCATTTTTCTTTAGTCAAGGAGGCCTCCCCGATTTGGTTGCAAGGCTGAGTTTGATGTGATAGAGTGAATGCTTTTGATCAGGGACAGAGCACGAGGGGACGGAATTGCCCAAAATTTAATTGCGCCAATGAGGTGGATGTGGTGACCGAGGATGACAGTGTTGATGGTGATGCTACTGACGACGAAGCAGGCCTTGAGGCTGCAGCTGATGACGCCATTGATGCTGATGTTGATACCGAAGATGAACTGGATTCTTCGCTGCCTGAGGATGTTGAGTGGATAAAGCAGCAGCCACTTCCTTATCCTTTGGTACGTACTCAGCGCTGATTTGCTAAGATTAGTAGCGAATGGAATGATAGATACCCAGGATGGTAATGTAGGATGCTCTGGAGCCATTCATAAGCAAGGAGACTGTGGAGCAGCACTGGGGAGTTCATCAGCAGATTCACGTGGACCGGCTCAATGGCATGATTGGTGGTAGCGAGTGGGAAGGCATGTCGCTGGGACAGATGATGCTCGCCTCCTTCAACGAGGGCAGGGAGGAGCCCCATCCCCTTCTTCCATGCCGCACAGGTACCATTGGCCATGGAGTGCGGTGCATCTGTGGTTACTTGTGTATGCTTCAAGTGGCTAATTCTTGACCATGTATTTAGGTATGGAACCATGATTTCTATTGGCGATCCATGAAACCTGGCGGTGGAGGCAAGCCACCAGAACGGCTTTTGAAATTTATTGATAGAGACTTTGGCTCCTATGAGGGTATGATCCGACAATTCATGGATGCTGCACTAACTCAGTTTGGTTCTGGATGGGTTTGGCTTTCCTGTAAGTGATGCTGACGACCATGCCTCTTACCTTCACTGTTCTAATATGTGTAACTTGCACATGTTGGTCAGATGAACATAAATCTTTTCTGTAACTGCTTGTAGACAAAGGAAGCGGTTTGCCTTATGTGAAATCAAGAAGCCCAATCCCATCGGACAACTATGGTAGGCTGGTCATCTCAAAGACTCCAAATGCCATCAACCCTCTTGTCTGGGGCCACTCTGTGAGTATCAACTCTACAACTTTCTCCCTTATATCACCATGAGTCCATGTATCCACTGGAGTCTCATGAATCTATTTCTTTGGCAGCCACTCCTTGCGATTGATGTTTGGGAGGTACAGTTTTCGCAAATGTATTTTTCCTTTCCTTTCCTTTTTGACTAAAAATACATCTTTACTAACAATTCTCTTCACCTGTGGGAACAGCATGCATACTACCTGGATTATGAGGTTAGATGGAAAATGTTGCTTGAAGTTTGCCAGCAGTTAAATAGTACATTTTCTCTGACATGTTTAGCTTCCATTTCATCTTACAGGATCGAAGGGCTGATTATGTTTCTGCGATTCTAGAGAAGCTTGTGTAAATGGGAAATAGTCGAGTCGAGGCTCACAAAAAGCCGTTGTACGGGCAGTAGAAAGAGATGAGAGTCTCCATGAGAAGAATCCTAAGGAAGCAGCATTTAGCTCAGGCGAATGGACAGAGGAGAGCTAGGCCTCGCTTTCGGCAAGGCAGATCGACAGGGAGGCAAGGAGACCAAGAGGTCGCCAGGAGCAGTCCTGTGGAGGCATGACAACACAGCTGGTGAATGAGGTATTGAGGTGTATCAGGCCCCTTGTGTAGCTGAATGGTGCTGCGAAGATGGGGATGGACCTGCAACGCAAATACCAGGGAAAAAGGTGACGAACCTTTTCCTGATGACAGTCTTGATAGCTTGCATGGGCATATTGGTCTGTTGAGGCTGCATTGCATACACCCTCAGGCCTCAGTACTGTGAAGGGGTTGGGATAAGTTTTGATAAGTAGGATTAGGGTAGAGGTAGAAATGTAGAGTAGGCAGAAACGCGCCAGGCGCCCAAGATTCGTTTTGCTTGGTATAATGGTATTCCTTGTGGGATGTGAGTGACAATGGAAGACATGGCTTGTGTGTTCCGACTTCTGAACCATTGGTTGACGAACCAAGGCTGCAGGGTGCAAGAATTATATGGATAAATATAATGTTGTCACTCATCAGTCTTGTTCGTTTTGGATAGGCCCTTTCCAGTGATGAACAGTGACCTGTGAGTAGGGAGAATGTACCCATTTGTTAAGGAATCTGCCCAGCTTTGTTTTATTTTCACTTCATTTTTATATATGGCCTATGTTATGCTGTGGGAGTCTCTCTCTGTGCTTGCTGCTCTTGTCCAGTGATATAATACACATAAATAGACCTACCCTACTCATGTACTGAGTGCAAATCAAACAAGCTTCTCATTAAGCGACGGCGTCGTGAACAAAAAATGAGAGGCCATGGATAATCTCAGAAGCACCTTTGCATGATCAGTTTTGCAGCAACGCTCACTACCTTTGCTATACCTTGTTGCCCAAGTGAACATTTGGATAATCGGACATATCTGTAGTCTAACACGCTATAGCTTCACATTGTTAGGTTAGTTGCTGATTACGATTTCTTCTTCTTCAAAAAAAAAATGCTGATCTTGGTAGTGAGGAACGCGGACTTTAATATCTCGTGCAATATGGGCCTAATAGTAGAGGAAGGCCGCCTCTTTACCTGGTGGGCCTTTAAGGCTCAGACGGTTCGGCCCAAGAATCAAACGGCCCGCAAATTGTTGTCTGGTTTGTACTCGGACATGCTCGGAATATCCCGCCAAGCTAAGGAACGTACATTCCACAAAAAGAACCCTTCAACTAATGCTCTTTTGTGGCATCGTTCCTCGTTCGGGACGACCTCTGGAATCCAAGCCTTGGACCGCTCAGCGCACCTGGCTTCTCACGGTGGAATTTCTTCTTCGCGTGAATTCAAGTTCTCGACTAACGTAAATGTTGCATACTCAAACATGTCCATGCTTACGTCTTTGAAACTTATTCTAATATATTTTGAAATTAGACTAAGTAACATGCTTAGACGTGGGCTATTCTAACTCGTATAAGCCTTGTGCTTTGAGTTTGAATCACGAACGAAACAAAAACCAATTAGAACTCTAATCTCTAATTCAACTTGATCATCAGTTTAGGTCATATAGGACAATAAACCAAATAGGACTCTAAGTAATCTCTAATTCAACACGTATTATTACTCAGTAAAACTGAACATGACTCTATGCCACAGAGAGTGGAGGGACACACAAATGATGTGAGAGGGTGTGAAAGACGAAAAGAATAGAAGAGAAATTTTCAAATCACACACGGTGGTGAATCTTTTCGCCATATCTTCTTTGTTTTATTTTAGTTCGTAATCTTGTTTATTCTTACTCTGTGATTTGATGAAAAAAGAACATAATAAGATAAAAAAGAAATCGGGTGAACCTAATCGGCAGTCCATCGCCAGTAGATACAAACAAGAGGCGCGTCGAGCTTGGGCCTCCCCGCCCCGTCCCCTCGACTCAATCGACCGCCAAGAACGAGCCGAGGCATCCCGAGAGCAGCGCCGCCGTCTCGTCGCCATGGGTCTGCAGGTACGGATCCTCTATCTAGACTTATTTGTATCTTCCACTTCCAATTCCAATTCCAAGAAGAGATGTGTTGGGTTGTGGTCGTGGAGCAAAACCTGCAGCGTCCAGAGGTCGATTTGGGACCGCCGGCTTCGCTGGTGAATTAGTTGATGCTTGTGCTGTCAGCTGCTGTGTGGTTGTGATCTTACCGGCCGGTTCAGTTGTTGCTTGGTGGGTGGCAACAAGTTCAGAGTCTGGATTAGGTGGACCGCTGGCGTCGTCGCTGACGGATTCTGTGGTTCAGGTTTCAGAGCCAATGGCACAGTAGGGCCTTGCTGCCTTCGTTAACTAGTACGGACCAAACCTTTTTTAATTTACCTACTAATAAACTGTTGTGACTATCGTCTGCTTATTATGGCGTGCAAGTTAGCAACACCCCGTAGTTCTGAAATCGTTGCTGCAAACTAGAGTAGCACTGTACTGTCTGTCCCTTTTTTTTTTCTTTTTCTGCGACCATGCCGACTGCCGAAGCACGTACAGCACTGTTAGTTTGTTACCACTTGCAAAGCTATCTATGGCAATTGATTGCCGGAAGCTCGGCGGATCAGTTTCTCTCCACTAACCATATTATGCAAGCTACCATAGTGCCGACACTGCTGGCAAAGCCATCTATGCCCATGCTGATGAAATAGACTGCTTGGCTGGTTAACCTTCTCTGTGATTCTTTCGTTTGCAGGAGGAGTTTGAGGAGCACGCCGAGAAGGCCAAGACATTGCCTGACACGACGACGAACGAGAACAAGCTCATCCTCTACGGGCTGTACAAGCAGGCCACCGTCGGCGATGTCAACACCGGTACATATGCGTTTTTGTCTTGTTGATGAATCTCGTACCGCTCGGATGCTACAAGCTTTAATTTCGTCTGCTCTCAAGTTTGTCCTGCGATGCTCATGGTTTTCCGTGGCGAATCAAGACAGAAGAGTATTGATTCTAACGACAGCACAGCACGCTTGTTTGCCTTGTGATGTGCTTGATTTTGCCATGGATTTCATGCTTGTGGGGCGGGCGGGCATGTGCGCTTTTGGATTCTGGGGCCTCATGTTTTTATGGAACACCTTGTCAGTATAGATGGCAAGGCCAAACAGAATTTCAGATTTCCACTTATGGTGCAGAAAATCAGTTGTCACTTTGGAATTGCAAGGAAAACATTTTGATTTCCTTGAATACAGGAGTAACTAGCATCCCAAGTAACCTTTTGATTAATCGTTAATGTGCAATGCTTCGATTCCTTTCCTTATTATATACACAAGCGAGATATGTTTTCAAAAAAAAAAAACTATATACACAAGCGAGATTCCATATATATATTTACGATTCCATATATAGTTTGCAAGCTGTTGTGCACCTCTCTTTCCCTACAAGCTTCCTCATATACCGGATTCTTCAGATTACCTTTTTCGAAAAGATCAGGTGGTCAGATTTGGGTTAGCCTTTTTTTTTCCAATGGAAAAAAGGGTACTACTTCTATGAGTGTTATGAACATCAAAGCACACCTCTGTATTCCAAACCTTTCCAAAGCAAGCTGAATTTGCTTTTTGGCTAGTAACAGTTCCATACTGAACATTCCTGTTTTGTCTGTTAGGGCGTCCTGGCATTTTCAGCCTGAAAGAGAGAGCCAAATGGGATGCTTGGAAGGCTGTTGAAGGTTTGTCCAGGCTTGTTCCAAATGTGCAATCTCCCTCTGAACAAACTCCCAACTGACCATTCTGCATCTTTGCAATTTTTTTCCTGAACAGGGAAATCCAAGGATGAAGCAATGACCGACTACATCACCAAAGTGAAGCAGCTGCTGGAGGAGGCCGCCGCATCCACTTCCTAGGCTATTAAGAAAAACCATGATCCATAGTCGCATATATATAGTCATGCTATACGTTGTCAATAAATCTTATCACTGTTATATTTCTGATGGTTTCTGTTGCCATACATGTAACTTTTCCGTCTCCATGGATACTCATCATCGTTTAAGGCTGTAAACTCGTGTGAAAACAAATTGATATATCTCTGTCAGATTACCATCTCCTGAAAAGTTTGTTGGGCACATGTTCCTGAATCCTGGGCTCCTGGCCATGAATTGCGCAGCTTGTGCTATATCTTCCAAGAAGGCGGCATTTTAGTTTGGGGACATCTGCAGTGTTCTATTTTTCGTTTAAAAAAACAAAATCATTTCATCTGCAGTGTTCTATTTCAGATGCTTGTGCTCATGTGCTGTGTGCTTCTTATCTACCAGTTGTTGCTTGGTGACAAGTTCAGAGAGACTAGCTCAACAGGTGTTGTACCGCACTGAATTACTTACCAATCTTGTGGTTCAGGTTTCGGAGCCATTTGCAGCAGAATTTTAATATCCTCGCTGTTTTAAATCAGTTATACGCTTAACCTATTTACCGAGACTACATGCCACAGTACAGTATGCTTATGGCGTGCAAGTTAGCAATACTCCTTACCTGAAAGTTGTTGCATCTACTCTACGTGCGTTGCAGATAAAATCTCCATGATTTTCATTAAAAAAAAAGAAAATCTCCATGAATTTTTGTAACCCATTTGTCAATACAGTTACCAGTTTGGAAAGTGATCCATGGGATGAAAGCTTGGATGAACTATTTCTACACTTAGGCCATGTTTTGTAGGAGTTTGAAGAGTATCTGTGGACCTGTCGATCGACGAGGAAGGCCATGGCGGAGGAAAAGGACGACTGGACGAGTCTCCGGCAGAGTCGTCGACGACGGAGATATTTGTGGTCTGGTGGTGGGCTTTGGTGGGCTAATGGACTTTGCAGCGTGTGGCTGTGGCCTGCTAGTTGGGATGACTATAATTTACAAGGGACGTTTTCTTATATATATATATATAGCTCTGAAACACAGTTCAAATCGGCCACTTGCCCGGTATTTTGTTTTGGATAGCAATGTTCTGGTCCAGTTCCAGCATCTATCGTGTATCATACTTCAGTTAACTTCAAGCGTGGAACAACATTCATTGCATGCAATTCCTGAAATAGAAAATCAAACAAGTGAACATAATGAAATCAAATGCATTGTAACTTGGTTTATGAACAATCAAGCAGCATAACTATAATGTTACACAGGAACCCTACATGTACTAGCAGAATTAGTTAAGGTAATGCTGACAAAATCCCTCATAGTATGACTTTACTTCCCCCTACCAAGAAATGAGATTTATCATTTAGGGAATGGGACCGATACCAGGATAGTTCATTTGGGTTAAGTGGATTGTGCAATTTTCTGCAGGCAGATTTATAAAGAGAAATAGGTGGGGTGATAAAGAGCTCCAGCATCTCCATTAACGAAAATGCAATAGCTCTGACATGTATTTGTCTAAAAAAACTGCAAGAAAAACCTATGCATGCAATCAGTCCAATTCCAAACATATCACTTTAGACTTGTGAATAAGGCTTAAAAATGGTAGATTAAATGACATCACTGCACTTCATTTGTGACTAGTAGCATAATATCAAGGTGGCAACGAAGTAAAGGGTCAAAAAAAGTTCTAGGATGGTTTCATTTAGATAGAAGGCTAAAACAACCTACATTTTGGGAACTAAACAGAGTAGTCCGTATAAGAGAAATTAATCTTAACAAAAATTCAAACACAAATGATCCGTTAGCACATATACCAGATGGGTACTGTACCTGAAAAAAAACTGTTCCCAAATTTTGTGGCAGTTAAGAAGTCTTAGGAAAACAATTACATTGCAGCGCCAAAATAAATCAGGTTCTATGATTAAAGCAACAATACATTATGCTCTTATGCAGTACCTGGAACAAAAGTTTGCAAGCATATGGCAACCTCATCTTGGCCATATTTTTCCCATTTTTGCACATTGAACAGTATGATGTCTTCAATTTATGATTGTAGTAGCCTAACAAGCCACATTTTCTTCAAACCTGAAAAATATTCACATTCAGGCCACAGCAATACCCATTGGGGAAAAAAAAGAGTGCTTCATGATACTGGTTGAAATAAGTAATGGCATAAATAACAGAAATTGGCAACTGGCCATTGGGCTAAGTTAGCTCCATTATTATAGTACTAGAATATGAATTAGATAACACCTGATACAACAGTTTGTATCTAACACCCACCCGTAGATTTTGCTAGGTGCTGAAGAAAACAAACATTTTGGAGATCGGTTAAAAAGACCATTATGCCTTTCTCATTTTTCTTTCCTTTTTCTCCCCAAGCCGGCACTTATCATCTCAAAACTTACCAGCAGACTCAGGTTTGTCTCTCAAAGCCTAAACTTTTCTAGTTTCACATTTTTTCTCAAAAACAAAATCAAATATGATATTGACAGAAACAAATACAGAAACAGTATTATGGAATGTAAACAAAAACAAAAAGAGAGAATTCCTTATTTGACACTGGGAAAATGAGTCGTTCCTTTTTTGGCCCTAAAATTTTCTTCGTTCCCTATTTGACACTCACTTCAATTTTCATTCCTAATTTGACACTACCGTCAAATCTGTTAGCTAACGGTGTTAACCGGCTGTTAAAAAGACGTTTTTGCCCTTAGAAAAAAAAGCGGCGAAGCAAATTTGAGAGGAAAAAAAACCTGTGCCTTTTTTTGCAGCTGGGCGCATGCATCAGAGGCGGGCGTAGGTTTTTTTTCCTCTCAAATTTGCTTCGCCGCTTTTTTTTTCTAAGGGCAAAAACGTCTTTTTAACAGCCAGTTAACACCGTTAGCTAACGGATTTGACGGTAGTGTCAAATTAGGGATAAAAGTTGAAGTGAGTGTCAAATAGGGAACGAAGAAAATTTCAGGGCCAAGAAAGGAACGACTCATTTTCCCGGTGTCAAATAAGGAATTCTCTCAAACAAAAATCGATTGTCTTCACTCTAGACGTTCAAATATTAGCATGCTAGCACCATATGCAATTAAACAATCACGTTCCATTTCACCAAGACGCAAGACTGTAAACAATATTATAGAATGAGAATAAGATAATCAACAAGTACTAGTAAATATAGCCGTATGACACAAGAAGATATTGCCAACCTCCATCACGGCTTCGCCCTTCAGTTGGTTGCCTGGTCAGTAACACCTGTGGTCCACTAGCTCGAGCATGCATCTTATCAAGAACCTAGAGAATCCATGTTTTAAGAAAATTAGAATGGCACCAAAAAGAAATAATCCATTTTTAGACATCCAAATCTTGCCAAAGTCTGAAACTGGTGTAGCAAAGATTGTCGTGCTGCTTGGCTGGCGTTGTCGGGCGGATTAGGTTCCATGGGCATAGCAAACACATCGATGTGCGCTACCACTTCATTAGGGAGTGCTTGGATGATAGAAGGATTTAGGTAAGAACAGTGGCCCCACATGTTAATGAATTTGATCTACCCCTCACCTTATCCTTTCTTTTACCTGCTTGCCACTCGTTCAATTTTTTTGGTAAGCTGTGTAATTTTATTAACACTATCCATTATGTGGCCTCCTAATTTTGGCAAATTAGTTGGTGGACCAGATCATTAATGTGAGGCGTTGTCGAATATGTCCTTGATCACAAATTCACAATGTTTTCCAGATCGTGGATTAGACCTTTTCCTAGAGTTTTGGACTGAGATCTTGCTATCTGTGGATTCAGATTACATAACATGTCATCTCGTATCACACTGAAGTTGCTCATTAAACACTTTATACTCATTCAACACTATTTCTTCTTAATGAAAAATGTGCACAGCATGTTAAAAAAAACACTTTGGAGGTTTGACTGGTAAATTTTTGCTGCATCGATGAATATAGTTAATTCAAGTGAAAACACTATTCTTCCATAATTTGGCCTTGTACCAATTGTTGGTAGAGAAAAGTTTGTTCATGATACACAACTGACACCAATTTATATGTAATGAATGCATTTAGAAACCTTGTGATGTGATGTTATAGAGGGAGCCCAGCATAAAAATAAGGACACAGAAGCAATAGAAAACAAAGCCTAACCAAGTTAAAAGGAACAAAAGAATGGAACCATCATTACCATGCGGTTCAGTTTCTGATAGTAGATTGGCCCCATGAAGATGTATGCCTCAAGTGGCTGACCAAGAATTCCTGAGAGGAGAAACATTAAGAGAGAGAAAAAACTTCCTCAGATAAAACGAGATAGGTGAGGAAAATAACAAAAAGAAAACAAATAACAAGCAAAATAAAACCTTGGGAAACCATGTGGATTCATGATTAAATCAAGATAGATTCCTCTCTCAGAGAAGGGGAAGTCTTCTTGCTGAATAATTGTACCACAAACACATTTCTGCCCATGTCTGCTACTGAATTTGTCACCAACCTGAAATACAAACATGAAAGAAAAGTTTTATATCCATCCGTGAAAAAAATAAAAGGTGCATGGAGCATACAAATCATATCTCTGGCCTTCTAGTGTGACGAATAATACACTTAATGGACAACTTATCATTTGTATCTGGGCACAGCATTACACGATCTACGACAGTAGTCTCACCATCAACACCTTTGTAAATGGCAGGGGAGTCCTTGTAGCACCTAGATGGTAAAATTACAGGAAAGGGAAACATATATAGCATTCATCAAGACCAAAACTTAATAACCCTAAAATTGAAGAGTGGACACATAAACAAGGAAAAGAACACAAGGGGAAAGAATCCTTACCTGTCTGTCAATGGCCTACCAATACCTTTTGAAGTGTTCATGGGAGTTTGCTTGTTCACATAGATATCATGATTGTGAATAATTTGACCAGGTGCGACAATTCCATCTTCATCCAATGCCTTTCAATAAGTAATCATATTGTTAGTGTTAACTAGAACATGCTTAGGTGAGAAAAATGAATCAGTTCTAAAAAATAGTCGCAGAATATGGGCAGTGATAACTCCATATCCTTACTCTCATATTCTGCTTCATCAAAACCACCCCACCGGCCGTTGCCCCCGTGGCCCCGCCTGGGCCTGGCGTTGGTCACCGAGCTGGGCTGCGCGTGTGGCTGAGCCACGGCGTGGCTGCTCATCCGCCGTGCCCCCTTCCCCCACCACACGCTCGTCTCAAGTGTTTCATCTGAATGTTGCAAAGTATACCTGAGATGTTGCATATGTTGCAACGATAATATACGCATGTTACAAGCCCATGTTTCAAGTGTTTTAGATGTATGTTTCGAGTGTTTCATCTGGATGTTGCATATGTTGTTATGGCTATACACGTATGTTTCAAGCGCATATTTCAAATATTTCAGACCTATGTTGCAAATATTTTATATGGATGTTGCAAAAGTAAATCTAGATGTTGCATATGTTGTTATGGCTATACACGCATGTTTTAAGTGTTTCATCTGTTTTAAATGTATGTTGCAAATGTTTCATTTGGATGTTTCAAAAGTAGATCTAGGTGGGAGCATATGTTTCAACTTTGTATGGTGCTACTGCTACTGCGTGGGTCACCGTGGCCTGGGTCACCGTGCGTTTCAAAAGTATATTGCTACGTGGGTCACCATGCCTTTGGTGCTATGTGCATACTGGTAGCGTGACCACGCCATTTTTCGGTGGTGCTGCTGTGTGTGTGCATGTGGTCGTGGGTTGTATGTTTTCAAAAGTACGGTGTTGTTGCTCCTCGTGGGTCACCATGCCGTCTGCTGGTGGTGCTATTGCTGCTTGTGTCCATGCGGTAGCGCGTAACCAGAGCAGGCTCGGGTGGTCCCCGCGGTGTGGGCGAGTGAGCCGTTTTTCCTGGAGGCACGTGACAGAGGAAGCTCAGGAGTTGAGTTCAGATGCGCCGTCCGTCCGGGCGCTGGCCTTTCCATTTTTTAACACGCAAAGATGTTTTTTCTTCTTTCCTAGTTTTTGTTCAATGTTTTTTCTTTTCTTCTTCCTTTTCCATCTCGGACTCCAATGTGTTTTTTTCTTCTTCGGTAGTTTGTCCGCTAGGTTTTCTTTATTTTGACACCTAAAAATGCAAAAATCAATTCTTAAAAAAATTGCAAGAATTGCTTTATAATAAGCACTCTTATCAATATCAAAAATTAGTTTAGGTATTGTGTGGGTACCTAAAGGTACGTTCAACGTAGGCGCAGGGGGTAGAAAGGCTGATCAAAATTTATTGCGTCAGCTATACATTCAATGTATTAAATTGCACTCACCATACAACAATTCGTCTTTTTCAGCTTGTTTTTTAGTCGGAACATTATTTTTCTCTCACAACAAATTAGCCAGAACAGTGTTTCGGCTTGTTTTTTCAGCGAAGCGAACGGTACCTATATAAGTATGTGCATGTTAGTCCAAGATCTTGTAGTTTGTCCAATTTAATACAACAACTATCTAGGTGGGTGCATGTTGGCCCAACATCTTGTGATCTATTTAATTTGATGCGAGAACTTGGCTCATTGGTGCATATACAGTCCAAGCATTGTAACGGTGTGTCCTTGTACACTCTGAATCATTGTCATTGGAAGCTATATCTTAGCACGCTCATCTCATCCATCACTTAGCTTGAATCGTTTACTATATTATAATATCATTTCTGAATTTGGCCAAATATAAAAACTACCATTAATTTTATAAATATAAAAATACCAAACCGGTCATTTTTCTTTCTATACTATAATACTTTTTTCATCTGTTTTCACCCCTACCCATGGTCATTCATGGCTCGTTAAAGCTGATAGGTGGGTTGTCCATCGTGGAGGTAGAGTTACAACTTTGTTTAGGGGTGGGCATTCGGTTAACCGAAACCGATCGGTTTGGTTCATGGTTTTCATGAAATTTGGTATAGTGGTTTTTTCCTTCCATACTATAATACCGGTTTTTGAGGTTTGTTTGTTTAAAAGGATAGGTAGTGAGCACTTGGTTCTCTTAAGCTTAACGGTTTGTGCCCCCTTATGGGGGTACGACCCCGGATACCCACAGCAGACCACATGGGCTGCGCCTCCAGGGGCGGCCCAGCCCACAAGATGAAGCCTTGCGGGACATGACTCTGCTCGGCACCTCTCGCAAAACACCGGGAAGATATCCTGAAGATACTATGAGATCTGTTAGGATACGTATGATCCCAAGATTCCTGTAATCTGTTATTACTTTTCGGTTATCTCTCAGATCTAACCGATTTGTAACCCTGCCCCCCGGACTATATAAGGCGGGCAGGGACCCTCTCCAAACTCACGTAATATCATACGATAGCTAATACAAACCAACAGACCACAGGAGTAGGGTATTACGCCATACTGGCGGCCTAAACCTGTCTAACTCATGTGTCTCTGTTGCCTTCTTGTTCTTGATCACACGCTTCTCTGCCGATCAATCTACCTTAGTGGGATACCCCTCGGAGGACTACTGATGATATTCTGTCGACAGTTGGCGCGCCAGGTAGGGGATTGCGTGCTGTTTCCTTGTTGAACAAGATGGCTTTTTCCACAGGCTCTTCGTCCCTCCCGCGGCCCGGCCAGGTCTTCACGGTCGGATCCATCTCGTGGGTCATCAACGCTGACGGAGTCGGAGAGCTCCTCGAGCCGGTACAGATCGATTCTGCGTCGATCACCCCCGCACCTATGACTGCAGATCCAATCTCAGAACCACCTCCGAGGTCGCCTTCATCAACAACTCGCCGCCTGCTTCCTCGCTACCAGAGGAGGCAGATCAACAACGACGATCTGATCGCATCAATCGATCAGGATGGTCAGAAGCTCGCTAATTGCCTCTCCATCGTCGAAACGGCTCTGGAGACTCTGGTCCAGCGCCGACCACCCTTCGATCTAGATCTGCCGGAGGCTGCTCAGAAAACTCTAGGAGTTGTGGCTCTGCCCTTCGGGCTCACCAATGTCGCCGCCACCTTCCAAGATGCCCTAAGGGGCAAATTCGCTGACCAGGTGGGAGACGTCCATCCTCTCACCGACTAGATTGTTGACCAGCCTCCATCGGCCGTCAACATGCTCCACGTCGGCCGACGCTCTGGAGCATCCCTCCAGACCATCCCGGAGGAGAATCAAGACTCTGAGTCCCAGGGCTCTACGGAGACCCTCACCGAAACCTTCACCGAGCAACTTCCTCTCCCTCCGTTCCGCAGTGGCACGATCTTCAATGTCAGCATCGATAGCCCCCCTCGGAACGGCGAAACCGAGGAGGAACGCGCCGCTCGTGAGAACCGAAACATCAACCGCGCACAACGCTGAGCAAATGAGATTACCCTTGCGGTGGCCGAGCAGCAGCTTGACTCGCAAAGAAGGCCACTCCAGCGCAACCTCGACGATGCATTTCTCCACGTTGACGGCCACGATGTCTGTAAGACTCCAAGCGCCAACCTGGCCGTGGCCGCCAATGAGCTCGCTCGGCTCCCACAGACACCGGAGGTCGCCAAGGTCGTCGCAATGCTTAAAGCGGCGCATTGCCAGATCAATGAGATTCGCCAGGATCAGAGACCTTCTTACTCCACAACCTCAATTCACCGATCAGTCACCACAAGATCCAATCGCCGCCCAAGTCGCTTCACCGACCAGTGCCGCAACGACAGGCAAGTCCTCCAGGGCGGAGCTAGGGGCAACCGCATTGAACATCACCGCCAACCCGACCAGGAGGTCGACTAGGACATCCGAGTGCACCTCAACAATCTCTGAGATGCACGACGACGTATCGACGAACACCGCTTCGGTCGCCATGAATACGAAGTATGCCACCACCAGGAGTACGAGCAAGAGTACGGTAACCCAGACTCAGCTCTCGAGCCACTCACCGATGGTAATGCTGCAGACGATGGCACCGACAATCCCGAGGGGCCCCCAGCATTCACAAGGGTGCTCCGAACACTTCAGTGGCCCCGTGGTTTCAAGATCACTAGGGTCAAGCCCTACGAAGGAAGGATGAACTCGACACAGTGGCTACAGGCTTACGCCACTGCTGTCCGCGCCGCCGGAGGAGACACCAGTGTCATGGCGAACTATCTTCCCGTCATGCTCACACCAGCTGCCATGAGCTGGTTTACAAGCCTTGCCCCGAACTCCATCGGATCCTGGGAAGAGCTGAAAAAGTCTTCACCGATAATTATATGACTACCTGTACTCGGCCGGGCACCAAGCACGATCTGAACCGCATCAACCAGAAGCTGTCCGAGCTCCTCCGTAGCTATATTCGACGCTTTTCCGAGATGAGGAACTCTATCCCCAACATCACGGAAGCTGAGGTCATCACCGCCTTCATCCGAGGACTCCACCACTGCAAGCTTCGCTCCAAGTTCAACCGCAAGCCGCCTACCGGATTGGCGAAGATGATCATGACCGCCAACCAGTACGCCGACGTCGAGGAAGCCGAGGTGCGCTTCAACGAGTATGCGGGCGCTCATCTCCCAACACGCCGCTACGATGACCGCCCCGACGACCGACGCCACAGCGACCGCCGCTACGACGATCACAGTTACCATCGTGACAGCGGTCGTGATCAACCTGAAGGACCCAAGTCTGGCCAAAATCACCGTTGTCGGCCAGACCACATCGTCGCCGTCGTCAATGAACCACGGGCCAAGCGCAATTACGATGAGCAATACAAGAAGATCCTCGATGGCCCGTGCCCTCTCCATAAGAATGCCAAACATAAGATGAAGAACTGCCTCGGCTTGGCTAAGGAGTTCCAGGACAAAAAGCTGGACGATGACACCAACGATGGAGCCGGAGGCCGCCGACCATCTAGGGGCAATAACAATGCCTTCCAGGACCACGACAAGGTGATCGCCACCATCTTTGGGGGCCTCGCCTCCACCGAGAGCAGAAGAGAATGGAAGTTCGCCGCACGGCGGGTGCTCGCCGTCACTACGGAAGACGCCGCCACCAACCCCAGCTATCGCCCATGGTCCGAGGTCCCCATCACCTTCAGTAGGGCCGACCAGTGGGTGGACATGCCCTACATAGGGCGTTTCCCCCTCGTCCTCGACGCAACCGTCCAGAAGGTGCTTTTCAAAAAAGTGCTCGTTGACAGTGGGAGCGCTCTGAATCTCCTCTTCGCCGAAGCCCTAAAGGAGCTGGGCCTCGGGTTAGCATATCTCACACCCTCCGACTCCTCCTTTTGGGGTGTGGTACCTGGCAGGGCCTCCAAACCACTTGGAGAGATCACCCTACCAGTACAGTTCGGCACGGCAAACAACTACCGTGTCGAGCATATCAACTTCTACGTCGCTGACTTCAACACCGCCTACCACGCCATACTTGGTCGGCCAGCTCTAGCCAAGTTCATGGCCGTACCACACTATGCTTATCTGGTGCTGAAGATGCCTTCGCCTACAGGAGTCCTGGCCCTGACGGGCCAACCTCTCCATCGCCTATGCCTACGAGACAGAGTCTCGCCCTCGCTGAAGCCACCGACCTCTCCATCCAGATGGCCAGTGTGGTCACCGAAGCCAAGACGGTGCCCGCTGACGACATGGAGATCCCAGAGCTGGAGCCTCCTCGCGCCTCCGCCAAGTCCAATGAAAATAAAGGAGGTCGGCCTCGGCCTCGACGACCCCTCCAAGACTGTGAAGATTGGGGCTCATCTTGACCCCAAATAGGAAAGCGCACTCGTCTCCTTCCTACGTGCCAACGTTGACGTGTTTGCTTGGAAACCTACAGACATGCCGGGAGTACCACGGGAGAAGATCGAGCACTCCTTGA